CATGAGTTTATCTCGGCAAAGTCGGCGTCGAGCTTGACACTGGCATGCAGTAGTACGGTACAGTATCGAACTCTTGCTGTACGTAGGTACGGTGGTCGCCAGCGCTAGCACACGCAATGTGACCACTACCATGCAGCATCGCATCGCTGTGGGGGTCCCATCACTGAGCTTGTGCATCAGTAGACGGAAATGCAGGTGCATTTGCACTCTTGACTCAAACTCAAGACTGATAAGCGAATTCAAGGTCGCGTGGCTTGGTCAATCAGTCTCAACACTTTGGCTTGCGGGCAAGGCGATCGTGAATGTTGTGCTTTGTGCTTTGCGAGTGCCTGACCCACAAAAGCAGCAAAGCGTGACCAGCTCTCATCTTCATCCAGAATTCAGAGCAGCGACTCTTGACTCGAGATCTTCACACCAACGTCCCTCTCAAACGTCCCTCTTCTTCATCCGTGTACGCTTGCTGACGAAAAGTCGCCCATAATGTCGCTCCGCGACGAGATTGAATTCACGACGCTGGCCAAGAATGCGAGCAGACAAGCTGCCCACGAGTCGGGGGAGAAGCAAGCAGTAGCCAGCAGTTCGCGGTCACAGAGTCCTAGTAGCGCTGATGGGATCGCATCTGACGCGAAGAATGAGAAGACTTGGGCAGCCATGGAGGCGGGTCCTACGGCGGTGGACGCGTCGGTGCAAGAGGCCAACTTAAAGTCCATGGGAATCATTGAAGATGAAGAGGATGGCCACGTCACTCGAGGTCTGAAGCAACGACATATGGCGATGATCGCGTTGGGTGGGACCATTGGAACGGGTCTCTTTGTTGGGCTGGGAACGAGCTTGGCGAGCGCCGGACCATTATCGACTCTGCTCGCTTACAGCTTCATGGGCTTCCTCGTTTGGGGTTTGATGATTGCTTTGGGCGAGATGGCCACCCTCTTCCCGACGTCTTTCATCATCCACGCTGGAAGGTTCGTCTCTCCTGGATTCGGAGCAAGCTTGGCGTGGATGTACTGGTTTTCGTGGGGCATATGCATCCCTACCGAAATCAGCGCGACTGCATTGATCATCGGTGAGTTGGCGCGGTCTCCTGTTTATCAGTGGAATCATCATGTTGAGCTCTCGTGCTCGGATCTTTACTCCTCTTGTGGCTTCGAACCCACCAGGCTTCTGGGATGTGGAACAGAAGATCAGCCCTGCTGTCTGGATTTCTATTCTTCTGGTCTTAGTCACATTTGTTAATTTTGCTGGGGTGCGGTGGTTCGGAGAAGTCGAATTCTGGATGTCAACGTTGAAGGTTGTGACGGTCGTCGGCCTGATCATTCTGATGTTGGTGCTCGACCTGGGAGGTGGCCCTACCGGTGAATTCATCGGCGGGAGGTATTGGCGCGACCCAGGTCCGATGGCGCAGTTTCTTTGGACTCGAGGCGCAGATGGAGCACCTGAAGGCGGGATCTCCGGATCATGGGGCAGATTCTTGGCATTCTGGAGTGTGCTCGTATCCGCCAGCTTTGCCTTTGCTGGTACCGAAATAGTCGGTATTTGCGTAGGAGAGGTCGAAGCGCCACGTAAAAATGTGCCGAAAGCTATCAAGAGGGTCGCCTATCGAATTGGACTCTTCTACGTTCTCGCCGTCCTCTTCGTAGGCCTTTGCGTGCCTTACACCGACGACAGGCTTCTCACAGACTCCAGCACCGCCTCGGCCTCCCCTTACGTCATTGCGATCGAATCTGCGCGCATTAAATTTCTACCGAACCTCATCAATGCGGTGCTCGTCGTTGTCACATGGAGCGCGGCTCAAGCAGATCTTTACGCCGCTAGCAGAGCTCTCTATGCTCTCGCGCTGGGAGGCAGGGCCCCGAAAATCTTCCGCAAATGTACCAAAGCCGGCCTTCCCTTCTGGTCGCTCGTCGCCACGTCTTTATGGGGACCGCTTGCCTGTGAGTCTGGCGTTGGATGCTGCTGATGTGCTTGGATGAGCTCGCTCTGACCTGGCACGTTCCTCGACACAGACCTGGGCATTGGATCGATCGGTGCCGAGAAAGCTTTCGGTTATCTATACGACCTCAGCGCTGTTTCAATCCTTGTCTGCTGGTGGGCGATCCTGATCACCTACTGTCGTTTTCACCGTGGACTTGGCTTGCAAGGCCTTGCAAGGTCGGATCTGCGTTAGTTGCAAGTCGGCGGTATCCGGGTTTAGGCGAACAGGGCTGACCTCTACCTTACTGGCCATCCCAGCGTACATCGCACCTTTGCAGCCATACCTGAGCTGGTTTGTGGTCCTGATATTCAGCATCATCATCCTGTTGGCCGGCTTCCAGGTCTTCATGAGGGGACTATGGGCGGCTGACACGTTTGTGACCACATATCTGCGTGAGTGCGCCTGGTGAACAGCCGTCAAATTCCGTGTCGCAGACAAAGGAGCTGATTCTGTCTCTCGTTCTGGATAACACCTGCCAGCGGTCATTGTCTTTCCGTTAGTCTGGGCTGGATACGACCTTTGGCAAGGTACCAGGGTGGTATCCTATCGAGAAATGGACCTGCAGTCTGGCAGAAGGGAAATTGACGAATTGGAAGAGTTTGCTGCCCTCAACTACAGACCGGACAGTGTGGTGCGTGTGATTGGGCCCCTTCCGACGCTGTGCGTATGCTACACAAGTTTTCTGACCCATCGTTGCGTCCTTGTCCCTAGAGCGAACGCGTCCTGAACTGGTAAGTCGTAGTTTTGGAAGTATCCGGTGTTGCCGTGACTGATCACGATGCTTGTACACACCCAGGCTATTTTGAAGCGCTTTGCGATGTTGTAATGCTCGGTCCTTCGATTCTTGAATGCGGTATATTGCTACATGTAATTATGATCGCGATGACATGGAAAGACTTTCGTGTATGAGCTTGGAGTCATTTGTGGCTAGCTGCGACGTGAGATTCGCACCGACGGGAACACGGAAACATGGGAGCGGCCCTATAATCTGCCGAAATGGATAGAGGGGAGAGATGCAAGTCCATATGGCCGCTCATGCGCTGTGGACTCGAACGGTTGGGAAAGCTCAAGAGAACATGAGGATGCCGCCGAGCGGCCCGCTCTCCTGGAAAATGGATGAAGTCTGTGTCCAGAGGTCCTCCGCCATCTGAATCGGCATACTGCTTTCAAGGCCAGTGGAATCTGGTGCTGCGGCGAGCAGGCGCTCGCCGTAGTCCTGGCACGTCCAGTAGAGATGTTGCAGGCCGAGAACATCGGCTGACGCGGCACTTGCAACCTCACTAAGCACATTGCGCGCCTGTCCAACAATGATCTGTACTTGCTTTGCTAAATTTTGCTTCTGCACCAGTGTACCCTCTGCTGCATTCTCCCCAATCCTAGCACTTAACACAGAAACAGCTGTCAAAGCTAGATGAGCCGTCGAAAGCGCCGTGCTAGCTAGCAGTGGACCCGCGAGGGTTGCCAGCGTACGAAATCGGTTTGACGACTTAGAGAGGTCACACAAAGAATCGACCATTTCCGCAAGGTCACGAAGCTGGAGGCTCTTTGCGCCAAGCATTCCGATCCGAAGGCACAAGGAACGAGCTCTCTTGAGAGCTTGCAAGACAGTGTGAAGATCTCTGCGACCAGGCAGCAGGGCGTCAATGGAGATGATACCCCGACCTTGTCCCATACACACTCACCTGCGCATATGGCGAACCTGGTCTGCTTCGTTGGAGCTCGAGATGTCCATCTTCAAGTCACTGTCCGTCACTGCGGCGAGCTCGTCGTCTTCGACAGCAAGACGAGGCAGAAAGAATCCGAGCATTTCGAGCAAGATCGCACGGTCGAGCGCGCTAGCGGCGGGCGCATGGCTCAAGTTGCGGACAAGATCAATGACCATGCTGACGCTCGAGCTTTTCTGGTCCAAATCACTTCCCAGCGAAGTAGTCTGTCGACTCGCAAAGCTTTCCGCCGACTCGCGACCACCAGCGAACAGAGATTTTTGAATTTCAGCGAGGAGTAGGATCGCCATTTGTCTGCCATTCCAGCCTTCGCGATCACTGTTCGGAGCTGCTGCTGCACAGATAGCGGCCTCGGCTGATGCCAGATGTGGGCGACTTTCGACGCCTTGGCGAAGGTGTTGAAGGACCATGAAGAGATGAAGGTCACCGTCAAAGACTCTTTCAGCTCGCTTCTCCTCTGTTTTACGCCGCAGGAGCTCCACCGTCTGTTGCACAGCCGAAGCCGATTGATGCAGCAAAGAGGCTGGCGGTACCGTCACCCTGCCTGTGCCGATCAGCATTGCTTCGAGCGCCGCGAGAGATTGACGCATCTCGAGGCGTGAGCGATGGCGCCAAGCATAGTCTCGATGCTGCAAAGGCGGCAAAGTAAGATCTCTCCGTCGCGTTTGTAGGCTAGTCAGGTGCTCTACAGTGATGTGAAGTCGAGTGACATCCGCAGCTTGAGTCAGGCGCGACGGGGGCAGGAATGGCAGTGCGCGGTAGATTTCGGACTTCAAGAACCCTTGAAACGCAGCATCGGCGTGATCGAGACGAGCGGGTAATGCGTCGAGACCTGGGGGCTTTGCTGCTTCGTTCCCGGCGCGTTGCGTCGCGATAGGGTGGAACCACGGGCTGCCGTGAAAATCGTTCACGGACGCCATAGACCCTTCGATATCACGGGATCGCTCATTGCTCTCCGCCTCGGAACAGAGGTCACTACCTGGCGAGTGGAGATTCTCGTCTCCGATTGTCTCGGTTTGCGTGAGTGACTTTGAGGTTGCAGCGAAAGCCTGGCTCCCCAGCGCTCCCAAATTGGATGATGGCCGTCGACCACTGCGAGTGTCGGATCCCATGCCCTCATCGCCAGGCTCGACCACGTCATGAGCGTGGGACCGCATCGCATCTCCATCGCTACCGCTCTCCTCACTTGACGGCGCACCCCTAGCGGGTCTTTGTGATTCGAGAGCAGCTAGACGACCTTCCAGCTCCTTGACATACTCCTTGACTGAGGTCCGCTTTGGTGCCCGCTTGAGATAGGTGCAAGGAATGCGGGCGCGAACGCAGTTAGAACATGGCCGAAGAATGAACATGTCATTCTTGCTCTCTGCTCGATTGGTAGCCATCGACTCGGGGTGCCCTTCTTCGCCCGGAAAGACCCCGACGACATCGCACTTGGTCTTGCGACGGCGGCAAGGGTCGCAAGCCCTCGAAATTCGGAGACGTTTCCCCGATTTTTGCATCGATGACTCGCCAGAAGTTGGTCGTTCCGCTGTGGAGAGGTCTGCGCTATGATTGAACGTCCTTGATCCGTCATTTACCGGAATGGTCGCGGGCATGTGCCAAGGGTCAGCGTCGTGGAGCGGCACCTGACGGCTGTAGCCTGCTGGGCGCGGATGAGGTTGGTGAAATGCATGTTGGGGTAACCCTTCGCGATGAACAGTCATTTCTCGTCTCGACGGCGACAGAGACCGCAATCTCTTGGAAGATGCAAATGACTCTTGATTAAGAGGTGGCAACTGTCTTTCCACGTTTGCAGGCGCAGGTAGCTCTGCAAAGGAAGGGTGGTGTGTGTAGCGCAATTCACGTGGCGGTGTCGAAGGGCGATGCGGTGTCACACCGACGCCTGGCAAAGCGTTTCTAGAGGGATTCGAGAGTGAAGACGTACTCATGAGTTGTGCTTTGTTGCTTTGGGAAATTGTGTCTTCGGTCCTGACATTCTGTGCCACAGGGTGGTCGACGTGTAGCAAGGCAGCTGGCAGACCACTCGGTTCTTGACGTCTACTAAACGAGTGAGATCTCCAGCGCGACGATTGCACATCGTGCCGCTCTCTCTCATCGAATCTCTCGGCAAAAGATGAACGGTGCCATGGCGTCGAGCGTTTAGCTTGTGTTGGGCGATCGAAGGACATCTGGGAGATTTCTGGGATGCGACGATGTCCTGCGGGGAGGTTCCCGCTTCCCCCTGCTGCGATATCTGCATTGTCTGGCAAAGATGGGAAGACACTGGCCTCAAATGTACGCGAGGAGGGCAAGTGAGGCTGAGGCTGGCTGAATCGAGTAGCTGAGTGGGCTGTAGGGGTCGGAGGGACCAACCTGTCATCGCGATCGGGATGCCATGGCGAACCAGAAGGACCAAGCTGGTGCCTGGCCGCTTGACTCGACGCTAGAGGCAGTAAGGGTGGTAGTGTGATGGGCCGAGCCAGCCTGTGCTGATTGTCGTCATGGATTCCAGGCGAGGAATTGCCGGGGGGTCGGCGACTCATTGAGAAGCAGCTGGGCAGGAGCAGGATTTGACAGCCGGTCTTGTTCTATGTACGTGTGCTACTGCAACGCGACAGCGCCAGGCTTGCCGGAGTGGCGAGGCGAGTGTTGCGATGCCCGGCCAATCGACAATCAATAATCATGAGTCGAGGGAGGAATGGTGGCAGCTTGTGGAGGTACAGGCGGCTATGATAAGACTGCGCAACCATTAACGATGTGAGCGGACCCAGTGAACTTCTCGAGTACTTCGAGCTTCACCAGATTACCCCTGTAGTCAAAGGCGGGAGGAGCAGCAGAGGCATGGGGGTGATCGTAATGTAAGTGTCTTTGTTTCTTGCCGTATACTGTGGTTGGCGAAGTGCTGTATAATCAATCGCCTTGATTCCGCGGCAATCGTCGTGGCTTCGATGCCACTGCAGTACCTCGCGCTGTTGGAGCGAACGGACTTGAGAACTTTCGGAGTCTGCAGCGCTAACCGACCCTGGGACCTGTCACTGGTTCTCCAAGCGAGCTTGCGGCGGAGTGGCAGGATGAGTTGTGGGAAGGCGTCGTTAAGCAGGGGACATTCGACGAGCCGACGCACTCAGGCAGCTGAAGCTCGGTGAAGGCGGTCTGAGCAATCTGGTACGTTACTCTTCTGAGGTGCTTTCTGAACCTTGAATAGATTGCTGGGAGTCAAACTCTCAGGACAGCTTACATCCGACCAAGAAGGCGCGATGCCCGCCAGAACGCGACGACCTCTGCCGTTTTGCTGATACTACTGCTGCAGGACTGCCTTCAAAAGCTTTCGTCCATCACGGCGTATTCGAAGGCAGCAGCTCCTGGAGCAAATATCCGACGTGGTCTCGAGCTAAACCTGCAGCCACGACGGCAATCAGGGCGCTTTGAAAGTCAGAGCTGATGTTGTGTGCCGTCAGCACGGCGCAACGGCTGGTCGCAAGCCGAAGGCACCAGACCACGCAGATCTGAAGATTCTCAAGTCTCGTGACTGCTCGGCCCCCAGGCTGTAGGCACGAGACTGTACAGTACCATACAGTAGTACAGTGTAGTGATCAATGTTTGTGAATGCTGCGCGAATCGGGGAGCGTCGGTCCTACTTCTAATACCGTAATAGGCCTTTTAGGCTCCGCCATGTAAGGGTGTTCGGTGGTCCGTGCTGTGCTCTGCGCCCGAGATGTGCATAGAAGGTGCCACTGCTGCTACCATAAGTGGGCCCAGAACTTCCTCCGGAGTTATGTCGACATCCACTCCGCTGACTGAACTGCCGAGAGGCGGTGGCATTCAGCTCTGTGACGAAAGGTGAGCTGGCAGAGCGTGACGGCTGCAGTCACTCAGCCTGACTGGTTTCTGTGTGTACGGACTCACGACTGTGCTGACTGCACGGTACATGCAATTAATTGCCACTACTAGCGCATGTGTACGTAACGCCGTCAATTGCGGCTTCTCTTGGCGCACCCCGGCCGCTACGTCTTCCTTACCACAGCGCAAACGCTTCCGCGGAATCTGTCTTCGAAGTGGGAATGTGATTGTAGTGCAACTAC